TATACATATATATTCGCTGAGAGAGAGAGAGAGAGAGAGAGACAAAACTTACCTTTCTTTCTCTTCTTCGTTTTCTATCTTGTGTGTCGAAAAAAAAACCTACACATATATAGTGTCTATCACATATAAATTAAATCAATTTGAGGACGATGCAATTGTGCTGACAGATTCATGTAGTATGTACGTGCATAGCGTGAAAGAGTAGTAGCAAAATACGCGACTGATTTCTGCGCTCTATATGCTTACCATCCAAGAGCGTATATTAAATAGAGAAAGAGGAAGAGAACAGAATAGAAGAGAATGTTAGAACGATAAAAAGAAAAAAATGTGTATAACAAGAAGATAAACCACCAAAAGTATATTATATTCAATAATCAGCTGTATTACCGCAACATTTTGACATTCTTATATGGCATAATTACTGTAGAAGATATTTGTATATATATATAAAGAATACAATGGATTGGTTATGAAATTGACAAAAACATAATTTATATTGAAAGAAAAGAATAATAAAGATATTCAACAATAACAATGAGACAAATAAAATTGATTATAGTTGATCGTTGAATGACATCTTATGTTCTATATAATCAATAGAAGAACAATTGTTATTATGTGATTCTTGAGTAGATTCTCATTATCTGTCTGCTGTTGTTCAATCATTATCTGATGTAAAAGACACAACCATAAGCGTAAACACTTTTTTTTTCTTGCAGACAAAACAGGTGTCGTAACTAGCATCCTTGCGTAAAATAAGGGCATCATTAATACAATTCATTTTTGTTTATTCAACTGTCTGATGATTTCAAAAGGTGATCAACAAACTAGAAAAATATCAGATTTTCTTGTAAATACATATTTGTAAGGTCTTCTATCAGAGTGTTGAAAAAATAATATTCTTATAGATGAGTTATTTTTCTTACAGTATATTCTGACAACGTCTAATAATAATAATCATTATAAGTGTGAAACCCATAGAAAAAAAAAGAAAGCCTTAGATCTTCATATTAATGAATATATTTCGTCTTTTGTTCTACATATGTTTAAGTATCAGAATATAAATTTAATGAATAATTCTACTATACTATTTCTTTTACATAAATATACGAAAATTTTCCTATAGAACTAGATCATTAATTAGAAATCTATGAACAAAAATCTACCAATAAGAAACTTACGTGATGTATACATGACTCAAAATTCGAGTATATTATATATTAGTCTAATCTTTTTATTAAGAGGACAATAATGAATGAAAATAAACGAACATAGGACATTTATTAAGTTAGAATGGTTGAGGGAGTATTGTAAAGAAGTAAAAGTGTTCATTTATGTCAACTTGTCATGTACATGAGAAATAAATTGATGTTAAAAAGTTACAATTGACTCTTTTTTTTTTCTTTTGAGTGTAATTATTATCGACATCTTCGAATAATTATTATATTGAGTGTTTTCTGTTTTATATCTTTTCTGTTTTTTTATTTTTATAAAATTCATATCTCTCAATCACATATTTTCATTTATTAATAAAGAAAAAACAACAACAACAGTGTTTTTCCAATGAAAGAAAAAAGTGTTTCTGTCGAATTGGCATAAACAGACGAGATATAAACAGAAGTTTCTTTTCTTTTTTTTATGAAATTCTATTTTATTGGTTAACTATAATGAGAAAATGTCATACGCCTGTATATTTAATTGTTTGAGGTTTGTTTTGCGAAGTATAAAAGCTATTTATATACCAATGAATCTTGTATTTATTATAGTATGATGTACTGATGATGTATCTATAAATATCTTTCTTTCTCTTGCTTCCTATCAACACTCCATACGCATAAACTCATCATTTGTCAACTATGATTTTGTAAATATTTAGACGAACAGATTTTGATCTAAGTTCCAATCATTTCCTATAAATTAACCGTTACGAAGAAAAACTATTGATCTTGAAAAGTATTCGTTGTCATATAAAATTGGTTCTGACGTTTTCTAAAGGAAAGAAAAACTCTCTAGACTCGAATGTCAACTTGACTCTGCTTTTATGTTCTTATATGACTCATTCTATTTCCTATATATATATATGTACATATATCTAAACCTTTTGGCTTTTTAACATATTGAAATATTCTAATAAGAAAGAAATGTTGATATCTACAGTCGTCTTGTGTCAACATCTGATGTCTATAATGGGTAAATACTGTACAATGATATATTGATTCTTCTGGAAGACATGTTTTTTTTTTTTTTTTACAGACATGAGTCAAAACACACTTAGGGTTATTTCAAGCATATGATATGAAAGCCGTAACCTATTCGTTCAAGTGATACTTTAAACTTGTAGGTTCTTGAAAGTTTTTATTTCAAAAAATGGCAAAATTCATTGAGAAATAGATCTAGATTTTTATGATGTAAGTTGATCATGATCATAAAACGTGTTTTGAAGCTCATTAGAAGTAGTATCAGTTCATGTTTAAGTTTCTTTTTGTTAGAAAAAAAAAAGTATTTTGGAACTGGTGCGATAGCGTTTCCCTCAATCAACCACTGAATTCAGTGTTCGTAACGAGAATAGATTAATCGAATTCTAGAAACTTACTTTTGACCAGATTTCTCAGATTATTACTCTTGTCAACGATATATAAATTCTGTTGTCAAAAGGATGAAATAAATCATATGCGATTATTAATGATCCTTCAACAAATATTGTCTTTTTATGATTAAGTATAAATTTCTTCCAACAAAATATGTAACATTAGTATTAAACTGATATGATTTCTTAATAAATAAGATTAGTCATTTTTAAACAATTAATAGTAAATTGATCTGTAATGATATAAAGGTCTTTTGCAAGTAATCATTACTCATTGATGTTTACATACATAATATAAATTAAAATTCTGACTTTAGAAACGATAAGAATCACAAAAAAAAAGATTATTTTCAATGTAATGATTTCTCATAATTATGTATTATTCATACTTATCATACATAATAGAGGCTTACCTTTTTCATACAAATTTTTATTTTTCTATTTCATCGATAATAATAATAAAAAAAAAAACATATAATTAGATAAATATTCCTTAACATGCTACTTAATGTGGTTTTAATTGTTATTGTATTTTTTTTCATACCCTAATTATGAACAATTCCAATAGATCAATTAAGGAAACATGTCAATCGATATTTATGAATTGTAACATTTATTTTCTTACAAAAAAAGAATATCAAGCGTTTTATAAGTTTAAGATTGCTATGAAATTTCTTTTTTGCAGATCAGATCAAATAATATGACATAAAACCAAACATATCGATCATAAAAATATTTTTGAAGACGTCATTTAAAGTTAAAAACAATCTATCTTGTTAAAATTAACTGCAACATTTAATATGACAAAAATACATGGGTTATAAATATCAAAGTTATTGATGTGATTAAACAAAAAATATAATCTCATGAGACAATAACATCGTTCAATCGTGGATTTCTTACTCGAAAAAATGATTAATGTACTACATCGTATGTGTAAGTCAGTAGGATAATAAATAAAAAAAAAGCTTTTGTATTCATTTCAATCAAATAAACTTTCTATATTTTCCAACTAAACAGAAACTATTTATCATCATCTTCTTCTTCTTCTTCGTGTGTATTTCACAATTAAGAAAAATTGAAAGTTAAAATATTGATCAAAAACTTTTTGTAAACAATAAAAGAAACTTACTGAGATAATAATGTGTACTTCATTGTGAAATACAAATAAATGAGATTAATAATGTAGAAGTAATAAAAAGACATATCTATGTTAAACTTATGTGCGATGAATTTTATTAGGGATGTATTCTTTCTTTTTTATATTTATTGCACCTTTTACATTTTCGTTCATGCGAAATGACATTTTCTTATATTATTTGATAATTTCATTAAATTTTATACTTATTTTTCTTCAAATTATTTCATAGAACATGATGCATAAAATGTATTTACAATAAAGAGAATTTCTTTGAATATTTTGAATGTAGACTGTGTATTGTTCGTATCAAACGAGTTTTAATGTATAACTTCAAAAATCTAGTGCAATCAAGATTCTCTTGAATTGTTGATATTTCTAATAAAATATTGTTTAACAGTTGTTAATAATTAAATACAAATAATGTTTTAATCTACAGCCAATTGTGACATTTAGAAATACGTAGAGAACAACTTCCAGCGACCTCTTCTCATTTTTTAAAATAAGGTGTTTGAATATAATTAAACCAATAAGCAGACGAATTTGAATTGTTTATTTTCTATTCCTATTATTATTAAATCAATGCAATATACTTGTGTATTTATTAGTGTATTGTTATTTGATGTCTTTAATTGAATTGTAACGAATAAAATAAAATAAAATTTGTAAAATCTTTATATATACATATATATTTTTTCAATTGTAGATCTTTAAATTAACGAATTTCAAATAAAATAATGACGGATTCAAAATATTTTTCAACGCAAAGAAAAGGTAAATTTAATTATTTGATTACAACTCAAAAGAAATAGCTATCTTTGCTAATGAAAAAGGACACACGATTGTCAGTCTTACCTATATATTTATGTGAAGGATAAAGAACGAACGAACGAACGAAGAAAAAGTTATTAAAAAAGTAGTATATATGCAAATATCAATGACTACTCTCTATTCTCTTTCGCTTCTCAAAGTCAAAAAATAGTATCAAACCAATTATCACATGTTTGTTGTTTTTTTTTTTTCGTACTAATATTAAGAAGAAGAAAAAAAGTAAAATGAGGTCGACCGTTTTTCCTTTTGTTCTTAGATAAAAAAGGTGACGACAATATCGACGAGTATTTTTTTCTTAATCTTGTAATAAAAAGAAAACCCATAACTATATTTTTCATTATTATTCTTTCGTAAACGTCATCTTCTTCAATCGATCTCTTTGTATTTTATTTTGTTGTTTAATCTTAATTAATTATAATTCATATAAAATAATTGTGATTGAATATGTCTGAATTAGAAAGCAAAAAAGGTATATCTGCATTGAAATAATCATTGAAAAAAAAATTGAATAAATTTAAATTATATTAATATTTTTAGGTGAAATTTATGAACTTAAAGCTGAATTAAACAGTGATAAACGTGAACGTAAAAAAGAAGCCTTAAAAAAAGTAATTGACTTGTTTTTTTCTTTCTTAAATTAAAAAATTTAATCATATTCATATATATATATGTTTTTAATTATTATTTAGGTTATTGCTAGTATGACAGTTGGAAAAGATGTTAGTCAATTATTTCCTGATGTTATTAATTGTATGCAAATAGATAATCTTGAATTAAAAAAACTTGTCTATCTTTATTTAATGAATTATGCTAAAACACAACCTGAAATGGCTATTTTAGCTGTAAATACATTTGCAAAAGTAAAAAAAGAAAACGAAAATATAATAAATTAAAAATAAAAATACAAAACTTAAAAAATATTTTTATAGGATTGTAATGATCCAAATCCATTAATTCGTGCATTAGCTGTACGTACAATGGGTTGCATACGTGTAGATAAAATAACAGAACATTTATGTGAACCATTACGTAAATGTTTAAAAGATGAAGATCCATATGTACGAAAAACAGCTGCTGTTTGTGTAGCAAAATTATATGATATTAATCAACAACTTGTATTTGATCAAGGTTTTCTTGATATGTTAAAAGATTTATTATCAGATTCGAATCCAATGGTATTTATTTTTGTTTTTAAATAAAGAAAAGAAAATAATCCTATTGAATATTTATTTCATTTAGGTTGTAGCCAATGCTGTTGCAGCATTAAGTGAAATATCTGAACAATCACCACAATTAAATATCTTTGATTTAAATGGACCAACAATTAATAAACTTTTAACAGCACTTAATGAATGTTCAGAATGGGGACAAGTTTTTCTACTTGATGCTATTGCAAATTATATACCAAGGGTTCGAAATTTTGAAAAATTAATGAAAATTTTATTCAAAATTATTCTTTTTTTTTTATAAATCCTATAGGATGATAAAGATGCACAAAGTATTTGTGAACGTATAACACCACGTCTTGCTCATGCAAATTCTGCTGTTGTTCTTTCAACAGTTAAAGTAATTATTTTACATTTAATATAACTGAAGGTATAGAGTATATATATATACGTAGGTTTTAATGAAATTTCTTGAATTAATTGATCAACATAGTGAATTTGTTCAAAATTTATATCGTAAATTAGCACCACCATTAGTAACACTTTTATCAGCTGAACCTGAAATTCAATATGTTGCTTTAAGAAATATTAATTTAATTGTTCAAAAACGGTAAATAAAATATTCTTTTTTTTTTCATTTATCATGAGATTTGTAAAAGATTAAAAATAATGATTTTTTTATTGTATCTATTTATATGCATAAAATTTCTTAGCTATTGAGTTGTAGCGCCACAATTCTTTTATCGTAAGATGTCTTGCTTTGGATCAAAACATTATGAAAATTTTACTCATGAAGAAAGCTCCATCATTAATACTCTTTGTTCACGTTTATAGGTTCAATGAAAGCTCTAAAAGAGCCCTTGTCCTTAGCATTTTCTTCTTAAATTATGTTCATTTCACTGAATTTTTCATCATAGTAAAAGATATTATCAATAAAAAAATTTTCTTCAAAAACAGGTCTCATAAGAGTCAATGTTGCACGTCTATTTGAACGTTTGAGTTCGATTGGGATCACCCGATACTTATTATATCCTGAAAGTTTTAGTTCAAATGGATGAGTTTTTCTTGAAGTATGGGATACCTAAAATGCAGACTATGTTCGAAGCTTCAGTGAGAAAATAATATTTTTCTGTCAATATATTATCTCGAAGGAGAAACATCCGTTTGAGCTGAAACTTTCACGATATACAATAATTCATAAGATATTTTAATGGAAAAGCATTATGACAGATTTTGTTTTCGTAATATCCTACAATAGGCTGAATGAATTTAGTAAAATCATCATTACTCAAAATGAAAGGCTTAAGAGCACGAATGATTTTAACGTTTTCATTTAAACTATGAGTCTTTCTTATAAATTCAAATAGAGAATATCAATTGAAGACGTTCTCTTGTACGATCAGACTCTTGAACAATATTTATAATGCAATCAATAGTCATTTCTAAAGTTTTCAGCTCCGTACTCATATCTTGTATCTATGTAGTATAGATAAAATGTTTATCATTTTAATTTAAATTTAGGTCGGATATTCTTAAAAATGAAATGAAAGTATTTTTTGTCAAATATAACGATCCAATATATGTTAAACTTGAAAAACTTGATATTATGATACGTTTAACAAATGCAACGAATATTGCTCAAGTATTAGCTGAATTAAAAGAGTAATTTAACTATAAATTTTTTTCAAAAAAAAACAAAAATTTCCATTTAATTTAGATACGCTACTGAAGTTGATGTAGATTTTGTTCGTAAAGCTGTTCGTGCTATTGGTCGATGTGCTATTAAAGTTGAACAGGCAGCTGAACGATGTGTTAGTACATTAATTGATCTTATTCAAACAAAAGTTAATTATGTTGTACAAGAAGCTATTGTTGTTATTAAAGTAAAATATTCGTTTTTTTTATTTATTTGATATAACGATTGATCGAAAATTTTTTAGACAAAATATTTATTCACTTTTGATTCGCTAGAAAGTATTTTTGACAAGTTACAAGTTATGAATTAGAATGTTCTTTTCAAATACGGATTCTATTCGAGAATAGCGAAATGATCTTTGAAAAGCTCAAAAAATTATTGCGGACGAAACTCATGGGCAGATGTATTCGGTTAATATGTTTATTCATTTAGGCTTGTTTGAGAGAATATTAGATGAACCAAAAACTATAGATCACGACCCCAATTTGAATATAGGCTTAGAAATTTTATGTCTATTTTTGTTCAAGAGTAGTGAAGAGATTTTTGAAAAGTCTGAAAAGTTATTATTAAATCTACAACAAAAAACTGAGATAAAATTCCTTAGTCTGTATTTTAGAAAAATGGATCTTAACTCATAGCTTTAAATGTGTCGAAAATATTTTCTAGCCGATCAAAAGTGAATAAACATCTTGTCTAAAATACATTTCGATCATTGATTATAATAGATAGAAAAATTCCTTTATTTTTAGGATATATTTCGCAAATATCCAAATAAATATGAAAGTATAATTGCAACATTATGTGAAAATCTTGATTCATTGGATGAACCTGAAGCTCGGTAAAATAAAACTAACAACAATAATATTTTCAATTCAAATAAAAATCTATTCTAGTGCTTCAATGATTTGGATTGTTGGTGAATATGCTGAACGTATTGATAATGCTGATGAATTACTTGAAGGTTTTCTTGATGGTTTTAAAGATGAAAATACTCAAGTACAATTACAATTATTAACTGGTATTGTTAAACTTTTTCTTAAAAAACCAACTGAAACTCAAGAATTAGTTACACGAGTTTTAACACTTGTTACACAAGTATTTCATTAATTCTAACATTATTTTTTGATTATAAAAATTAAATATTTCATTTTTTTTTGTGTTTAAAGGAAACAGATAATCCTGATTTACGTGATCGTGGTTATATTTATTGGCGTCTTTTATCAACTGATCCAAAAGCAGCTAAAGAAGTTGTTTTAGCTGAAAAACCACTTATATCAGAAGAAACAGATTTATTAGAACCAACTCTTCTCGATGAACTTATTTGTCATATTGGAACATTAGCATCTGTTTATCATAAACCACCAAATACATTTGTTGAAGGACGATTTATAATTAAAAAAAATTTACCATTTCGTTCAGGAATTCATGGTGAACATGAAGATAATATTGGAAATATTACAATGCAAACTAATCAACAACATCAACAATCACAACAAGTTGTTATTAGTAGTAATGTTGGTTCATTAATTGATGATTTTGATATATTGGATCCAATGCCAAATACAACATCAACAACAATTGATACATATGAACATATACAACAGCGAACTCCATCTGTTGTACCGAATTTACTTGATGATGAACTTTCATCAATTCTTGGAATTGATTCAAATATAAGTGGTAATCAAACATCACTCATGAATACAAATACATCATTACCAATGAATCGTTTAACTACTAGTAGTGGAAATGAACTTGATGATATATTTGGAGATTTAAATTTAAATACTGCTACTTCTGCTATTTCATTTTCGAACAATAATACATTGGTTTTACCGAAAGAAGTAAGATATAATTATATTTTTTTTATTAATGCAAAAATTTTCAATGAAACTATGACTACTAATTATTTCCATCAAAAAGAAGAAAAGAAAAGAAAGATAACTTCGATTAGCTAATTATTCAGTATTTTTTATCTAACATTATAATTACTCAATAAATAGTACATTTATCAAAATAGGAATTAAGTAAACAATAGTTTTCTTTCGATTGATAATTTACAGCTGTGCTAATTTTCTTTGCTCTGCATTTGCCTTAGGACTAAGTAGATGTTGCATTGCTAATTTGATACTGATTAAATAGAATGGATAAACAAACCATATGGTTATATGAATAGACATTATGGCAAATGGATTCGATAAATAATTGTAGTAAGAAATCTAGTCAATAGAAGTATTACTTTATTAAATATTCCAATGTTAAATACTAATAATTAAATTGCTAATATTATTTATGTGTTAGAATGGTAGTACAAAATAAATATTATCGTTATACTGTTATAATCAATATTTCTAGTCCATTTTATATTTGAATAATTCACATGAATACTTAGTTTTGCAAAATTTTGTTTCGAACTATTTCGTAGAGAAGATATGATAAAAGAAAAATTTTAACAATCAATAGAATATTTATTTATCAATAATGAGATATTTTGTGACTTAAAAATAAAATTTCAATATTTAATGTATTGACTATTGTGTTTGGAATAACTAATAAACTTGACTTGAAGTATTTATAAAAACTACGAACATCCATTCTAGATTGCGCTTTTTTGTTTTCAATTGGACTATAGCCTTTTCAATAGACATAGGCACTTATATTTATTTGTAAAACATTTTTTTTTATAAATAACAATCAAAGTAACTATGAAATGTCCGTAGTTTTTATTGGTACTCTTTAACTTATATTTTACGTTGTACAAGAAACATATTTGTAAATACGCACTATAATCACGAGTATTAAGTGCGTTGTCGATATTTATAATAGAATTTTCTACCATTGTTGTAATACATTTGTTTTTTCTTATTTTCTTTTTTTTGTCTTTTTTCCTACATACTTTTTTTTTTCAGGTTTGGTTAAGTGCTCAAAAAGGTAAAGGTCTTGAAATATTGGGTACATTTGCTCGTCGTAACAATCAAATTGTTATGGAAATTGATTTTATAAATAAAGCTTTACAATCCATGAGTGATTTTGCCTTACAATTAAATCGTAATAGTTTTGGTTTAACACCATCACAACCATTACAAATAACAAGTCCTTTATTTCCAAATCAAACAATATCAACACAATTAATTTTAAATATAAATGGACCAACTATGAAAATGGATCCATTAACAAATCTTCAAATTGCTATTAAAAATAATATTGATATATTTTATTTTAATTGTATTGTACCAATACATATTTATTTTGTTCATAATGGTGAAATGGATAAAATGACATTTGTACAAACATGGCAAGATATACCAGAAAGTAATGAAATTAAACATCAATTACAAAATTTAAATAATTTATCAATTGATGATTTACAAAATAAATTACGTTTAAATAATATACATACAATAACACGAACAATTATTGAACAAAAAGAAATGCTTTATCAAACAATTAAATTAACAAATGGAATATTTGTATTAATAGAATTAAAAATTACACCAGGAAATCGAACAATAGCGGTAAATAAAAATTTTATTTGAGTTTAAAAAGATAATTAAAATTTTTTTTTTGTTTTTTTAGTTTTCACTTAAAACAAAAGTTCCCGATGTTGCAAATTTAATTGTCCATGCTTATGAACTTATTCTTAGTAATAACTAGATAATGTATTCAGTTTTCTTTTCTTTTTTTTTTTTCATTTTATTTTGATCAATAAATATTACTCTTCGAAATATATTCATTTCAAATAAAATAAAAAAAAAAAAGAACATTTAATTAATTATTTTTTTTTGTAGATCTGAGATTTTGTATTGAAAAATATTATTGTTCTAATGAAATGCAGGTGTGCATGTGTTTGTAAATGTATTTTTTTGTTTTCTATTTATCTATTTTAAAGTAGCTTGAACGAAAATTTCCAGCTGCTCAAGGAGCTATTCGTTGTGTACGATATAATATTGATGGAAATTATTGTTTAACATCGGGTAGTGATCGAACAATTAAATTATGGAAACCTGATAGCAGTTTAGCTATTAAAACATATACAGGACATAGTCAAGAAGTACTTGATGTACATAGTTCATTTGACAATAGTCGATTATGTTCTGGTATTAATTTAATAATCGATTGAGATTTTAAATTATATTTTTGATTTTTTAGGTGGTGGTGATAAACGTGTTTTGTATATTGATGTAATGAGTGGTAAAATTGTGAAAAAATATCAAGCACATGCTGGTATTAAAAAGTTTTTTCTTTTAATATTTAAATGAAATTCTGTAAATAGAAAAAGAATTCATAGGCAGACAATGAAGACAAACGTTCAGTCTTGGATGCGATTCATTTTCAGTTAATTAATAGAAAGAATTTTAGGCTTGATTAAGATAGATTTATCCGCCATAGAATAAATTATTCAAAAAATCTGAAGATTTACAAACATCCATTAAAAAAAGTTCACAGTGTTCAGAAACGCTTAGGCAATTATCCAAAGACACTACATTGTCTGAACTAGGAATGTGTAGTCTTAGTGGAGATATTGACTATGACTTATCGATAATGAGTCGACTGACACACCGGCTACACTGAATCGATCTTCACTGAAATATTGATACATCCATATGATATGGATACGTCAAGTGAACACCGATCCAGTATAATTAGTGTGACGATAGGAATGTTCAAGTAATAGGAATATAAAAATATAGATTGTAGAAATGTATGTAAAAATAAGAATTTCACAGAAATGAAATGAAACAGTTAAGATTATCTTATAATGCAAATTAACTTAAATCATTTCAATTTATGTTACCAAAAACTTGTTTTTTAAAAAAACTAAGTCAGCGCTTTAAAATGAGTTCTCTACATGCTACATTGAATTTTCATATAAAAACATTTAATTAAAACTACTAAAAGAAAATCGTATTTATATCTAATGATTGACAAATTAGTGATGTTTGCTCTCTGAATTGACTTTAGAGAAAGTTTCAGCCTAGAATACATATTTGCATGAATACAATACAAAGAAATGAGTATATCGGCTTGTCCAAACGTAACGCTGTTACGTTTTTTGACACACTGTTCTTCAATTAACTCGGAAGGTTTAACAGCTAGAAAGTTCATTCAAACGCCATTCAACACAGCTTATCAAACTCTATTTATGCTATAAGAACGATCTTTTTCGGCTGAAGTCTCGAACGTCTAGAAAGGTTTTATTATCGCGTAACGCTGTTACATAGAAAGACCGTTTTTTTCCAG